GGGGGACAGCATTTTTCCTCGATCCTGGTCTTGAAGCATGTCTTAAAAGTCCTGTGATGATCCTCACAGCAAAGTCCACATTAACAACATTCGTAAAATTCAAAAAAGGTTGGGTTCTAGGGCCACACAGATATCCAAAGATCTAATTATCATGATTTTTCTCTAAGGTAGTGTTTAAAAGCAGGAAGATTTTAAGCATAAGCATAAGATTCATAAGACTTACAGCATAAGGGGTATTAGGTGGTGGGGCATTGATGAAATTTCTATTACCTGTCACCTCTAGATTGCTGATTCAGAACCAGAATATGAGGATAAAGAAGGAAATTTGTTTCCATCAGAAGGCTCTTGTACAGTGAGTTTGGAGGTCTCAGTTTAGTTCATATTTGCTAGCTGCCTTTGAGCTAAGTCAGGAATCCCTGGGGCTCAGTGAGTTATTTCTGAGCTGTCTCACCGGAGACCCCTGGTGGTTAATAGCTGCTGTGCTAGAACTGAGCAGGTCTATAATGGCTGGATTGTCCCAGTAGAGCACGACTCATTAGCCAAATAGGGTACTTCTCTCTCTGAAATCGGTTCCAGGATAGTCCACTGTGGACTCTTATCTCACCTTAGACAGCGTTAGTGACTGCACAGCAGCATAAGAATTATGCGGACTATATACCATACTTTTTTACAATAAAGACTATTATCACTTTTACAGTATCTTCTTATAAAGATATTCCTTTGCAGTATCTGAATTGGAGTCATACAGTGCACAAGTGTTTTTCCTCCCTCATCCTCCAACATCCAAATAGTACTTGTTGAGTGCTAGATAATGAACAGTAATAGTATAGAATTATGATGGTTAAAATACCTTTTTTTTTTTTTTAAGAGAAAGGAAGGAAGGAGGAAAAGCCTGCAGGAATAAACTGACACTTTTCAGTACAGTTAATTTCTCTCAATACTGTATTTCGAAGGCATATTGAGGGAGGGGAGAGTATCAGATATCAGAGATCAGTTTGTAGTCTTTTCAGGTCTTTTAAAAAACTGCATGAAAATGGTATTAATTCACTGTAGACTAACATGGAATTTGTTTTGTTGCATGGCCTGGTTTGCGGTGGAATTCACAACAGAGAGTAAGTTCCAATCCTTTTTCCTTTATTTTTTTAAATACATTTGTCTTCTCTAATATGACCTGTCCGTGTTTTAGAGACTTTGGAGACAATTCTGAATTACATATATGAAATGTTTCCGTCTAGGTTTTCAGTATGTTTTTGGAGACTCTGGTGGATTTTATAATAATTCATAAGGACGACTTACAAGACTGGCTTTTTGTTCTTCTCACACAATTACTTAAGAAAATGGGGGCAGATTTACTTGGATCTGTGCAAGCAAAAGTTCAAAAGGCTCTAGATGTCACAAGGTAAGTTTTTAAGGACCAGACCACTTTTTTCCCCAGCTTTTGAGTTGTAACTGACATAAAACGTTCTATAAATTTGAAGTGTATAACATGATGGTTTAATACACGTGTACATTGCTAAATGATTACCACGGTGTTAGTTGACACATTCTTCACCTCACATAATTACCATTCTTTTGTTGTGCTCGTGGTAAGAACATGTAAGAGCTTATTCTTTTAGCCACTGTCAAGTGTATAATCCAGTCCTGTTAACTGGTAATCACCATCTGTACTTCAGATCCCCAGAGCTGCTGCGTGTTACGTATGCTTGTTCCCTTTGACCAGCATCTCCCCATGCTTCCCACCCCCGCATCCCCTGACAACCACCATTCTACTCTGTTTTTATGGATTTAGGGTTTTTTTGTTTTGTTTTTTATTTGTTTCTTATTGTTTGTTTGTTTGATTCCACGTATAAGTCAGATCACGCAACATTTATCTTTCTCTGTCTGGCTTATTTCACTTAGCATAATGCCCTCAACGTCCATCCATGTTGTCCCAAATGGCAGCATTTTCTTCTTTTTTATGACTGAATAATATGCCATTATTTTTCTTTGTCCGTTCGTTCATCTGTTGACAGACACTTAGGTTGTTTTGTATCTTGACTATTGTAAATAATGCTACAGTGAACACGAGGTCAGAGGTCTCTTCAAGATAGTGGTTTCATCCCCTTTGTATTCATACCCAGAAGTCGAATTACTGGATTATATGATGTTTCTATTTTCAATTTTTAATTAATTTATGTCTTCAAGTTTCTTTATTGGGGGGGGGGGCTTGGCACAGAAGGAGAGAGAGAGAGAAGGAGAGAAAGAACCCCAAGCAGGCTCTGCACTGCCATGCATAACCCGACGTGCGGCTTGATGTCATGAACCGTGAAATCATGACCTGAGCCAAAATCAAGAGTTGGATACTTAACTGACTGAGCCACCCAGGCGCCCCTTTATTTTTAATTTTTTGAGGAACATCTATACTGTTTTTCATAGTGGCAGCACCAATTTACATTCCTGCCTACAGTGCACAAGGGTTTCCTTTTCTGCACATCCTCAACATTTATAATAACTAGGAGGTGTGAGGTGATAGCTCACCGTGGTTTTGATTTGCATTTCCCTCATGGTGATGTTGGGCACCTTTTCATGGATTTGCTTGACACTTGTTTGACATTTGTTGATGTCACGTTTGGGAATGTATCTGTTCACGTGGGCTAGACAATGTTGATGTTACAAGACTCTTCTAGTGTTTTTCTGGCATTCTCTTTTGTTTTTGTCAGCTGCTTGAATAAGTCCTCTCTTACACCATTTCCACATTCTCTTGTTAACAGATTTGTTGAAATGTCCCTGCTTTCCATGAGATGAAAAGTTGGCGTTATTTTTGTGAATGCTCAAGACAAATGTAAAAACAAGTATAAAACCTTGCAAATTGATCCTCTTATCTTTAAAAGACATTTTAGAGTATTTATGTACATCCTTCTGAAGACCTCAGTATTTTTAAAAAATGATTATTTTGAGAGAGAGCACGCATGTATGTATGCACACATACGTGAGTGGGGGAGGGGCAGAGAGCGAGGGAGACAGGGAATCCCAAGCATCCTCTACACTGTTAGCGCAGAGCCCTATGCAGGGCTCAGTCTCACAAACCGTGAGATTGTGACCTGAGCCGACGTTCAACCCACTGAGCCACCCAGGCACCCTAAGACCTCGGTATTTTTATTTATTTATTTTTAATTTACATCCAAGTTAGCTCGCATACAGTGCAATAATGTTTTCAGGAGTAGATTCCAGTGATTCATCCCCTGTGTGTAACACCCAGTGCTCATCCCCAGCAAGTGTCTTCCTTAACCCCTTACCCATTTAGCCCATCCCCCCACCCACAGCCCCTCCAGCAACCCTCAGTTTATTCTCTGTATTTAAGAGTCTCTTATGTTTCGCTCCCTCCCTGTTTTTATATTCTTTTTGCTTCCATTCCCTTATGTTCATCTGTTTTGTATCTTAAATTCTTCATATGAGTGAAGTCATAGGATATTTGTCTTTCTCTAACTTATTTCACTTAGCATAACACCCTCCAGTTCCATCCACGTAGTTGCAGATGGCAAGATTTCATTCTTTTTGATTGCCGAGTAATACTCCATTGTATGTATATACCACATCTTCTTTATCCATTCATCCACCGATGGACATTTGGGCTCTTCCATACTTTGGCTATTGTTGATAGTGCTGCTATAAACATGGGGGTGCATGCGTCCCTTCTAAACAGCACACATGTATCCCTTGGATAAATGCCTAGTAGTGCAATTGCTGGGTCGTAGGGTAGTTCTATTTTTAATTTTGAGGAACCTCCATACTGTTTTCCAGAGTGGCTGCACCAGCTTGCATTCCCACCAACAATGCAAAAGAGATCCTCTTTCTCTGCATCCTCGCCAACTTTTATTGTTGCCTGAGTTGTTAATGTTAGCCATTCTGACAGGTGTGAGGGGATATCTCATTGTGGTTTTGATGTGTATTTCCCTGATGGTGAGTGATGTTGAGCATTTTTTAATGTGTCGGTTGGCCATCCGGATGTCTTCTTTGGAGAAGTGTCTCTTCATGTCTTTTGCCCATTTCTTCACTGGATTATTTGTGTTTTGGGTGTTGAGTTGGATAATTTCTTTATAGATTTTGGATACTAACCCTTTATCTGATGTCGTTTGCAAATATCTTTTCCCATTCCATTGGTTCCTTTTAGTTTGGCTGATTGTTTCCTTCACTGTGCAGAAACTTTTTATCTGGATGAGGTCCCAATAGTTCAAGACCTCAGTATTTTTAATACTTCCATCTTCTTACAAGTCACACTAGAAATCTTGCTAACGACATATGATGTAGGGCTCCCACTCGCCCAGGTACAATCTCTGTTAGCATTCACTGGCTCAGAGGTTGATAACGCATAGCAGTTGTGACCTGTTACAAGGAAAGAAAGAAGAGCTGTGGAGATTCAGAGACATGTGAAAAACTGACTGTGTGCTGTCATTTTTCAGAAACCTCTTACCTACTGTGTCTGCAGTTGTAGGTTCGCAACATACGAGTATTAGAAATTAAATAGCCTCAGAAGACACCTCGCTGTAATGACTCAGTTGCCATTTGGTGGAACATAGAGGGTTATAGGTCACATCAGTGAATTTTTAAAAGAATAAGCCAATGACTCCAGATCAACTAATTATCCTCAGTAGAGTAACTTTTATATGACTCAGTTACTACACACTGGAATATTACTATATATCATAGAATGTCCAAAACAGAAGGACCCACCTTCATTTTATTAATGAGGAAACAGACTTTACTTGACTTGCCCGGGTCACAGTGCGTGTTAGTGGCCATCTGGGAACTGGAATCCAGGACTGCTGGTTATTACACTGCTGTGTGTTCCCCTTACTGCAGACTGGTCTGTGGATGTGCGACTTTCTCTCCTGAAGGAGAATGTGGATAGTATTTGCGCTTTTTCTTTCCTCTCTGGCTCCCTCCACTAACAGTAGCACACGTCACCCTGCCATCATCCCCCATGTATGTGTCTGTTAGTTGTTTGTGACTGCGAAACATGCATTTGTTCCTCCGTGCTCTGATGCCAACTGTTTTCTTTTGGTTCCTGACCCTGTAGATCTGTATAATTTGTGCTGCTATAGAATTTTATTATCCAAAGAGCTCTCCCTTGGTATTCAGTGAGCTCAGTATAATATACTATATTTACAATAAGCTTTTCAAATGCCGTCCCTCCTTTGGATGAGCGAGTTTAGTGGAATTAAGGAACATTCCTGCGTGCCGGTGTATTACTGGATTTGTAAAGGTTCAGCCAGGGATTGACTAGAAGGGCGAGGCGGGTCCAGCTGATAGTAACTGAGTGAAGTAGACAGGAGGGACGGTGATGCTGTGGGCTAGGGAACTTCCGTAGAGAGAGGTGGCCATGTTGGCATGTGGGCCCAGTGGTCCCAGACTTCCCAAGAAAGGTCAGAAATGTGGAATAAGGCAACACATTTGAGCTTTATCTTTAAATGACACTCTGAAAGCCAGATAAAACATTTGTGTATCAGACTTGGCCTAAAGGTCTCTTCCTTCATATAGGTGAATTTGTGAAGGGCAAAAACTTTCAGATCTTTAGGGATGGCAGGAATATTAAGATTTTACTCCTAAACTTTGGTGATTAAGGAAAACCCTCTGGTTATTTTCCTGGATGCCCCTTTCCTTTAAGAATCCTCTCCTGGGTAGATTCGATCCAAATCTCTAGAGCACATTCATTATTCAGTTTTCTCAGCAGCTGAGATGCCTAGCTATTTATGCATATTTAGGACCCATCAGTGAGTATTGGCGGGGAGGGGAGGGGGGGGGGCCTTTGTAATGGCTGAGGGGGGTTCCTAAGATAACAGGTCTGATTGCGAGTCTGCCTACTTCCTTTCCTTTGGCTGTGCCTGGCCACAGACACATTACCAGGTTAAACACGCCAGCTTATACTGAAATGGATTCTCCGTTCTCCCCTTGCTGCAGAAGGAGACAGAAGTTTTGTGTGTGGTTTGTCAAGCTCGTTTCTCTAATTTATAGCTGGTGTGAGTCACTTAAGTCATGTATGCTAAAGCGTACTTTGCTTGCAGAAGTGGTCCTCCTGGCTTCCTGGGTACAAATACATGTGCTATTGGGTCACGTTTACTTTTTATTAGTAATTGTAACAGTAGTAATATTAGTACCCAGGATGTGCTCTGTGCTTTGCATTTTCTTTACATTATGTCATTAAAATTTCAAATTCAGGGGCGCCTTGGTGGCTCAGTCGGTTAAGCGTCCGACTTCAGCTCAGGTCACGATCTCGCGGTCCGTGAGTTCGAGCCCTGCGTCGGGCTCTGGGCTGATGGCTCAGAGCCTGGAGCCTGCTTCCGATTCTGTGTCTCCCTCTCTCTCTGCCCCTCCCCTGTTCATGCTCTGTCTCTGTCTCAAAAATAAAAATAAACATTAAAAAAAAAAAAAAGTAAAATTTCAAATTCATCCTGTGACTTCACAGATCTGAACCTGCTTCCCCGTTCTTGTTACTATACTTCTGTAGATTGGGAAGAGTCCCTTAGAGAGGCCAAAGGAAACAATGCCGTCACTCAGCCTCAGTTGTAATAGATGTTTGCATTGCACCATCTTTCCTATTAGTGTGGAAAATACGTCTGCGTCTTCCTACATGGACATGATTATGCACTTTTAAACTAATGCTGGTAATTGCAGCATTTTAAGGGAAGGAGCATGGACTTTGGCTAGCCAAGAGTCCTCGGGGTTACTCAGATGTATCAAAGATGTGAAATGGCTGCAAGAAATGAGATCAGGAACAGGTGAGAAGCGGAGGGCCCTGGTTTCTGCATATGTGTTGTAGCTGGATGGGGGATTCCCTTGCTGGGTCTCCCATATTCTTTGTGGTCACCCTACAAAATAGAGACCAGAAGCAGTTGCCCAGTAGGACCAAGGAGGACAGCATGGTTAGCTTAAGCAAGGGCAGCTGTAGGCAGCCTCGTCAGGATGTAAATTAAGATTTCGGAATTGGAAGTTTTTCTCATGAAGCAGTTTCAGAAAGGTACCTGGAAAGAAGATGAGCACATTCTAGAAGGCAGGTAGGAATCTCTTTTATCATTTGGTCTTCATTTCTAAAATAGCATACATAACTCTAAGTGTCGTGTGTGTTTTGGGACTTATAGCAAGATTTCCCATTTTCTGGGGCACCTGGGTGGCTGAGTTGGTTGAGCGTCCGACTTCGGTTCAGGTCATGATCTTGCACTTCATGAGTTGAGCCCCGCATCGGGCTTTGTGCTATCAGCACAGAGCCTGCTTTAGATTCTCTGCCCCACTCTCTCTCTGCCCCCCCCCCAAAATTAATAAAACATTTTTTTTAAAAAATAAGTAAAAAAAAAGATTTTCCATCTTCTTAATTTTATATGTAATGTCTATTACTCTAGTATTTATATAAAATGGAAAGTACAATTACCTGTGTAGAGGCTTGCTTCCGTGTCCATCAGACTTATCTCTATTGGTATGTTTCTGTTTCTGAGATGGTTTTGCGTTATTTTTTGTAATGTATCTTTCCTTAAAATGAGCACTTTCTTTCTTCTCTTAAACCTAGGGACTCCTTTCCATTTGACCAACAGTTTAACATTTTGATGAGATTTATTGTGGATCAAACTCAAACTCCTAACCTCAAGGTTGGTGACTATTTGTCATTACAATTCAACCTCTAGAAGTCAAATTTGCTTAAAATGTCCTTTTTTGTACATGACTCGTATTTGGCTGTTCTGAATAAGTCTGCTGTGAGCATTCTTACACAACTGTTTGAGGCCATGTTTCCATTTTTCTTGTTTAAGTACCTAGGAGAAGAGTCACTGGTTCGTTGGGTGGGTCGTGTTTAATGTTATTTTAAACTGTTCAAATGGTTGTACCGTATTATATTCCTACCAGCAATATAATGGCAGGCCTAGTAGTTCCACATCCTCACCAACATTTGAGTATTTTTGCTATTTTCCACCGTATTTAAACTAGAAAATTCTGGTGTGTTGATATAAGGTATCTTACTGAAATGTTTTCCATATTAACATTCTAACACATGAAAATTAGTTGTCACGTATTTTGGAAAATCATAACTATAAGACTGAATTTGAGGGAGGGTATTATTAATTTCAGTTAGGTCGTGTATACGTCATCTCTTCTTTATTCATTAGCTTTTGTTGGGGTTTTAGGATAGCTGCAATCAATAACCGCCCTCTTCTCCTAAGGTCAAAACCAATTGAGGCATCAGTGGAGAAGTTAAGGTAGAATATCAGCGTGATTGCTAAAAATGCTACCTTGCAAGACGTGGCCTAGGATGCCCAAAAAACAATACTAAGTGCTTCCTGGTCAAGCAGCAGAGTCCATAATCCTGTGGCCTGCCCATGGGGGCTCATGCCCTGCAGGTGTCTTGCTGTGTATGTGAGGAGGCAGAGCAGGCCTTCTCCACAGGCACAGTGATCTAAAACTGAAGAAGGTTGATCTGTATGCCAGTCTTCCTGTTCCCAAACTTAACCTGTCAGCCATTTCATGCTTTTGTCCCTGATGGACGTGGCTCTATGTGAAAACACAGATCCAGGAGAAAGGAGGGGTCCCCTCAATTGTATTTACTTTTCTCTGATCAGAATTCTATTCAGAGATTCATAAGTGTACCTAATGAGTATAATTGTTGGATCTTTCAGGTCAAAGTTGCAATCCTGAAGTACATCGAGTCCCTCGCTAGGCAGATGGATCCAACGGATTTTGTAAACTCTAGTGAGACGAGGCTTGCAGTTTCTAGAATTATAACCTGGACGACAGAACCAAAGAGTTCAGACGTGAGAAAGGTATGTCCGCGAGAGCTCAAGTGCAGCTTTAAACACACCATTCTCAGGCATGTGTTAGGAAAAGAAATGTACTTGGGAACTTGCACACCATCCCACACACCTACATGGGATCCTTTATTACTCCTTTTCTGTGAAACCAAGACTTTGCTGTTGCCCCTTATCTTCTTTCTCCAGTTCCACCTAGTCCCAGTCTTCCAGCATCAAAATGAAAATCGGAAACCGTGTATGATTGGTTTGTGGTTTTCTTAGGCATCTATTTTATTCTTTTTAAGTGAGAAATCACTCATGGTTTAGTGTCTCTTCAGGCCGTCGGTTTTCCACATATCAGTTTTGTGACATGGACTTTGAGGACAGAATTGAAAATCTAAGGCTGCCTGGCCACAAGGTGCCTCATAGCAAAAGGTGGCTGAAAATTTGCTAAGAAATGAATTTCTGAATTTAAAAAGAGCAAACAATTTCAGATTACATACCATACTTGGAACACACTCTGACTTGGGGAGTGACATGGGGAGATAGAATTCAGATTTTGGATGCACCCTGGTATCAAGGTGTTGTTTTGTTAGTTTATCAGCTGAAGAATATTGGCTACTTTTTTCAGAAATGACACATTGAGGAGCAGATAACATAGGAAAGAGCACAGAGTACTATTATTTCTCTTTCAAGATAGTACGCTGCATCAGGACCATTACAAAGATTAATTATTACATGTGAAACACTTTGTCAGTTCCTGACGAGTTGTAAGCACACCACAAGCGTAAATTACTGTGTTTGTCTCTCTTACTCTCTGCCTGTCAATGTCGTTCTGTGCTTGAGCTTCCTACTGCTTGAGTTTGACACGTGGCCATTATTCTTTTTACTTTATGTGTAAACTAGCCTTTATGAAGTACTCTTAAAAGCCAGTTTTCTCAGTTCTGCTTCCAGACTGGAGGTACGTGATTTTGGTTATTTGTGTATAATCACGAGCCTTGCATTTTTTCTTCTGTACCACACTCCTTCCATCCTTGGCCCTATCAGTGGAGTTGTTTGGCCTTAAGCAGAGTTGATAATGTGGACCAGTTGGGTCCAGCAGGAAAAAAGGAAAGGAGAAATCCAAGCAATAGTTAGCAGGAGTGGTAAATTTCCAAATGCCAATAAACACTTAGCTCCTCTTCCATTGAAGTTCAAAGACAAGAACAGAAGAATTCCGTGAAAGGTTTCTTTAGAAGGGTTACGGATCATATAAGTCCTATGTCCATTGTATAGTCATAAACTAAGTTGTCCAAGGACAAGGAACAAGGGCAAATCCTATTAAAGGACTCATTCAAAATTGTTATCAAAGAGGCATTTCACTGGCAACCTCTGATTTAGCCATTAAACCAGTTTGGGATTAGGGAGGTACAATAGGAGGTGGTTGAATGATTTGCTTGGTGTGTAAGTCACAAACAGGTATTTCTGTTGTAGTTAGTTTTTAAAATCACAACAGTGGCCAAAATACAAAAGCCTTAAGGGTAGCTTTCTGTCTTTAGTCGTAACATGTAAATGTGTGTGTGTGTATATGTGTGTGCCTTTTGTAATTGAATGTTACTTAAGTATTCCTTCCTGTAGGACTGAAACATTGTAGACTTACGTATCACTTTCTCTGGACGTGCGCATTAAAAACTTGAACGACAATTTATTTTCCTAACTTTTCTAAGGAGGATGTCATAGGAACTTTCTTCCTTCAGTTATTTAGCCTTAGGCTCCCAAGGCTTGAGTCAGTTATGGTTAGGATATTAAACTTATTGCCAGCAATCATGTGGATTGTTTACTGTTTGATCTTCAACACTTACTGTCAGTCATTTTGGGTCACGCGGTGCTACTTCGCAAAGCCTGGTCTCCATGGGTGTTCCACTCCTGTTGCCTGCCCTCACTTCTTCCCCTTCCCCGTGTCGAGGACTGCTCAGCACCTCGCCTTCAGACTGAGTTCAGATCCAGGTTCTGGGCCAGTAATCCTGATCTTCAGGAAATTTGGAAAGCTTTTTTATTACATCAGTAGTTCTCAGTCCTGGCTACGGTTAAAATCTGCCTCCATTCCTGGGCTCTATCCCAGGTAATTTGACCTAATTGGTATAGTGTAAAGTATGGACATTGTTTTGGGTCTCATTGGGATTCCCTCCACCATTGGCTGTTTTTTAAGGCACAAGTTTGCGACCTGGTGTTTTAGACCATTACCCTGGAGTTGCACCTCAAGACATACAAGCTGCTGGCACAGTGTTGACCTGGTTGCGATCGATTCCCTTGGTCTGAGACTTCATCTGCAGTATCTTCAGGCCTGGGGCTAGACTTGCTATTCCCCAGGGACTTCTCACCCTCCCTATTTTCTCTCGCCCTGTATCTCTGCACCTAGCACAATACCTGTGTGAGCAAAGTAAACATTTCATAAACAGTTTGAATGAATTAATGAATGATAAATGTCCAGAAAGAGGTGATCTCATTTTAAGTAGCATTTCGAAACCATAATGTCGGAGGCCCCCTGTGTTGACTTCTTTGTTCGTTTTCTGTTGTATACTGAAACACCACAAACTAAGTAGCTTGAAACTACACACTATTATGTTGTAATTCTTTTTTTTTCTTTTTTAATGTTTTTATTTATTTTTGAGACGAGAGAGACAGAGCATGAGCAGGGAAGGAGCAGAGAGAGAGGGAGACACAGAATCCGAAGCAGGCTCCAGGCTCTGAGCTGTCAGCACAGAGCCTGACGTGGGGCTCGAACTCACAGACTGTGAGATCATGACCTGAGATGAAGTCGGACACTTAACCAACTGAGCCACCCAGGCGCCCCTGTGTTGTAATTCTTTGATTCAGGAATCTGGCACATGGTCTTTGGGTCCTCTGCTTAGGGTCTTAACAGACTGAAATCACGGTGTCGTCTGGGTCTTTGGTCTCATCTGAGGCCTAGTCTTTTCTTAATCACTGGTTCTTGGCCGAATTCCATTCCTTACAGGAGGGCCGAGGGGCCTGTTTTCTGGCTGTCAGTAGGGGACATTCTCAGCTCGTGGGCCACCTGCCAGCCCTGCCACACCTCCCTCTCCCCAGCTTGGTAATTTGTTTCTTCAAAGCCAGCAAGAGAATATTTGGGGAAAAAATTTCCCCAAACTTCCCAAATATGATGAAAAACCTTAGTCTACCCATCTAAGAAGCTCCATAAACTCCCAGTAGGATAAGAAAAGATCCCCAGATAGACACATCGTAATCAAACAATTGAGAGACAGAGACAAGTAGAGAATCCTGGAAGCAGCAAGAGGGAGGCAGCCTGGCATCCCCCAGAGACCCTCTGGTTTCGCCTCAGAAACCGTGGAGGACAGAGGCAATGGGATGGCATTCAGCGTGCTGACAGAAAAAACCTGCCAAGCAAATATTCTCTGTTCAGCAAAACTATTCTTCCAAAGTGGAGGAGAAATTAAAATGAAGCCAGCACCTCCAACCTTGCTTAAGGGTTTAGGTCACACCCATCCAGGATAATCTCCCCTTTGATGACCTGAAAGTCAACTGACTGGGGAGGGACTTTTCATTACACCTGCAGAGTCCCTTCTGCCATAACAATTAGGGGAATGATGTTCCATCATTCACAAGTCTCACTCTAGGAGAGAGGATCGTACAGGGATTGTATGTGGGAGATGGGAGTCTCAGGGACGTCTTAAGTGTTTTGCCTACCAAGGCTTTATCTCACTTTCAGTGAGTTGGCAGGAATCTTCCACAGTTATTTGTTAATTCACTAATTCTTACTTAAATAGGGAGCTTTTTAATCTAACTATTTAAATTGTGGTGAGGGTCAAGATGCATCTCTGCATCCTGGGTACCCTCTAGGGTTTTGTTTTGTTTTAAGTTTATTTATTTTGAGGGAGAGAGAGTGCGCGAGTGGTGGAAGGGACACAGAGAGGGAGAGAGAGAATCCTCTGCACTATCGTTGCAGAGCCCAATGCAGGGCTCAGTTTGCATGAACGGTGAGATCCTGACCTGAGCTGAAATCAAGAGTCGGACATTTTACCCACTGAGCCACCCAGGTGCTTCTAGATTTTTTTTTTTAATCATTAAAAATGTCAGTGGCTGGAGGGGCGCCTGGGTGGCTCAGTCGGTGAAGCGTCCTACTCTTGATTTTAGCTCAGGTCATGATCTTGCAGGTTCGTGGGTTTGAGGCCCGCGCCGGGCTGTGTACTGACAGCTTAGAGCCTGGAGCCTGCTTCGGATTCTTGTCTCCGTCTCTCTCTGCCCCTCCCCTGCTCACACTCTGTCTCTTCCTCTCTCTCTCTCTCTCTCTCTCTCTCTCTCTCAAAAATAAATAAATGTGAAAAAAAGGTTTTTTTTAAATGTCTGTGACTCAAGATTGCTTGGCTTTATACACATCCAGCCTTGTTGTTTGATTAAAATAGGTGCATTAAAGCACGGTATTTGGATATGTGTTCTTTTGCCCCATAACTACTTACCCACAGACTGTACATTAGGGCACTGCAGATTAATCCTTCATGGAGACGGCATCACTTTTATTTAAATGCTCTCTTCTGATGTGCCATCCAATGGACATTATGTAAATACAGATGCTGTTGTAAGTAATGCAAACTGCCTTGCACAAGAATTTGGACCATATTTGAAAGCTTATCTAAATGAACCGAGCACCTAAATAAATTAAAATACTTAAAAATTGGGATGTGATATATATCACTCTGCTCTAAGATCTGAACTTGTCATTATCATTTTAAGGCTGTAAAAAAGTAAAACAGGAACTATTTTTATCTGGGTAAATTAAAGCACCCTGTCTCTTTTAAATAAACTTAATGTTTTTGCACCATCTTTCATTTGCAGTTACTAAAAGTTTCTATCAGGTGCTAGGAAAACCTTGGTGATTTAAAAAAGCACTATGTGATCATGAACCAAGTTTTCCTATTGGTGTCCTGCTTTAATTTCTGAAGAGTAGGGCAAGATTATATTCTAAATGTTAGAAGAACGCTTCAGTCTGAAATTTGTGCAGTAAACCCTCATATTGGCCCTACTCTAGAGAACATTAATTTTCTGCAAACAATACTTGGGGAGTTTGCAGACAGTATAATTCATCCTATAAGGTCCTATTTGAGAAAACAACTTAACTCTAATAGAACTCGTAATTTGTTGACTTCAGCATTTTTAATATTTTGATATTTACTTTGTTTCCCTTTTTATCTGTGTTTTGGGTGTTTGTTGTTGGAGAGAGAGAGGTGTTTAAATATTTAAGATGTTTTGAAGAGGAAGGAAGAAGCACGGCCAAAACCAGAACACAAGCCAGTCAGCAGTGGAGTGGGCTTACCAGGCCAAGACTGATGGGGGCCAGCAGGAAAAGCCCCACCCAGACCCTCACTGGCCCAATCTGTTCCCAGAGTAACCTTGTTCTTGTTTTAGGTGCGGGAGCGCTGACTGTCCTGTTGACCAAACTGTACCTTTCTGAAGGAACTGTGTTTTGTGTTCATATAATGTATTAACAGGAGGAAGTGGATTCTAGAGTTTGACCGTCTTTTGACTTCTGCCCCTGCCACTTGGTGGTGGTGCGAGCTGGCAGCTGAACCTCAGAATTCTTGTTTGTTCCCTGTAAAATGGGAATAATCACCCCTGCCTCAGGCTTCATTGGGGGGGCCTAAATGCAGTATAGAAAACATAGGTAGAGACTCCTTCAATTGCTATTGCAGCCTCTGCAGCCCCGTGGGAGGCTTGTTTTGGTTTTGCTCTGTTATTTGTGAAGCACATGGAGAACTCAGGTTTTTTCCAGCATTAGGAAGATTTTTTTCCCCCCAGTCAACCAAAGGGAATGTAAATGCAGTAGAACTTTTAATGCTATGTTTACATTTCAGGATTCAGAATCCCTGTGGGTTTGCGTAGCATACATGATTTTCTACCATTGAGCGCCTGCTTTGTCAGATGAGATAGCGGATTTAGCCCCCGAAATGCCGTAAATGAAGTCATGGCAAAGAAACCTGGAAGGTATATAAAGATGCTGTTGTCTGGATCAGGAAGAGAATAGAAATAGCCCTCAAAAGTTGAAATTTCCAGCTGAAAAATTTTAATGTCTACTTACAGGTAGGCAGTGTGGCCTAGCCACAAAGCTCAGGATTTTCCCATCAAACAGGATTTGAGGCTCAGCTTAACTGTGACTGGCTCTTTCCAGAAATGAGTTGACTTTTTTGATCTCTTTGCTCAGGAACGCTACTGCTGCCAGCAACAAGGCTGGGTAGGGAGCACCTAGCAAATGGTAGAGGTTTGAAACCAGTAGTTACCGTCTTCCTGTTCTTAGAGCTGCTAGATCATATATGTCCAGGTGATGTTGCAAAAGAAGCCACATACTTTCACAGCTTACAAATAACCCTGGTTTTAGCACTTGCTTCTTCTCTCATTAAATCCTGCCGCCTTTCCTGTTTGTCAGTCCCCGCTTCAGCGTAGTCGAGTAGGTGAGGATTTCCCCACTAGGTCAGCTTCCACCTGCTCTGGGCCCGGAGAAGGAAACTTGGAAGAAAATTGTAAACAGGTAGATTTTAAACTATGTACTAATTTGAAAAAAGACACTTCACTGTTTGCATTATAGATTATTAATACTGATTACCCTTGGCAAGACACTGAAAAGATTGTGAAGAAACCTAAAATTCATATAATACTATGTTGAATGTGTGTGTGTGTGTGTGTGTAAAGGTTTGTGTTTTGATGTGTTTTATGATTAACTACCTGCCCAAAACAAAAAGCTATGTTGAGTGTAGTCCCCTACCATATGCAAGATACTAAATAAGGAATGTCTGGAGGTTTTGAAGTAACCTTTCTTCGGCGATTTTCTAAAGCAATTTTAATGACCATCTGGAGGGAAGCAATAATTGTTTAATAAATTAGAAACCTTCTCTTTCTCCCAAAGTTTAAGTTTTCCCCAGTTAATACCAGCGCTGAAGCATTTGTCAAAAGCTTTATTGATCTCCTGTCTCAAAGAACTCTTTCCTGCCTTCAAGGCAGTTAGTTGATAGCCCCGGGAGTTCTTTCCATAGAGTGACTGTAAGATTTGAAGGACCTTTTGCCCTCATCTACCAGTTTCTACTGCTGAGTGGGCGTGAGTGGGACTCAGTTCCTTTTAAGTTGCCATTTGGTCTTTAAAATAAATGACCCTAGAGTTGTCCGTTAAGAGAAGTCAGCAGCAACCTTGCGTTTTTGGTCGGGCTGCTCACTGGCCCTGCCTCTTATGAAAGGCAAGAGTTCAATGATGGAACAAGAACAGTGGTGCACTCCACTTTTTGATCCATTATTGAACACGAGCTGTGCCCCAAGCTTTTTAAAATGAATCTCTTCAACTTATCGCTATGTTTGGAGTTACTCCTTTAAAGAGAATGTATTGATGATAATGATAAATATAACCCAGTTTTCTTCCTTGTTTGGATTCTAGTATTCTGACTTCTCACTAACACAGAGGGTTGTAGATAAAATATTTTAGGACCATACAGTCTCATTCCTTTTAAAACTGTGATATAAAATATTTTTAAAATAACAGATTTAAATCATATTTTCTACCCATTTCTGGAGCTTGGACCTCATTAGAAAGGATTTTACTTTGAAAACAGCTTTAAATCCCCAAGGGTGACTTTTGAAAAATGTATAAAATCATTTACATTTCATATTTTGGAAAATGTAAAAATAAGTTACATCCATTTATATGTATAAATCACCACACGTACCATCTGTCCAACGAGTTATATTTTCACAATTCCTCCATCTCTCTTTTGGATTTCTTATCAAAATTCACCGTGAGGGTTACTGAAAGAGAAGTTTCTGTAGTGGGCCAAAATGTAAAGTCCGCTGCAATGGCTTTCCCACGTGACTAAGTCACTGATAGCACATGGCCACTAGTTAACACAATTTCTAGGCCTATCGTCTTGCGGCTCTTTTGTTCCTGAAAGATCCCGCTGATTTTTATAATTTGCTTTGTGAAAAACCTCAAGTTAATTTGTGATATTAGATATCCTGTCATTCTGGGAAGAAACACGGTTTTTTTAAGTAAAGGTAGTGGCACATTTCACATAAAAATACTGATACATTTTATAATTTTGAAATGCCATTGTCATTCATTAAAAAATAAGTCCCTAAACTTTCTTACTAAATTGGCAACATTTTCTTTTTTTCTCTCCCTGCTAAAACTCAAGTCTGTTTCTTTCTTTCTCTTTGAAGTGCATTTTTTTCTGCATGCGTTTTTTTCCTAACATCTAACAAAAATGTCTTTTTTCAATGCACAGGTTACTTTGCATGATTTTTGGAATTTAATCTTATACAAATATAAAGGTCAAGTTAATGTATATTACATTGGTGGTGAAAAAGATTCCTTCAGATAACTATTAAGTATGTTTCAATAATATGAAAATGTGTAGTACAATCGGTAATAGTGTGTTTTGCCTGTGTCATGAAAGCACACGGGCCCCTTGGGATTTAATTTGGATGGAAAGGCTACTGATGACTATATTTGGAGATCAAGGGAAGAAAGTAAGATACTTTTGCCCAGTCTGTGCTTAATAAATGCTTTTGATAGGTCTAAAATCTGGTTTTTGATTCTGTAAAAGACATTCTGATATTTTAAAATTCATAATTAATTTTTATTTCTGGTTAAATACATTTGGGTCCTTGGATTTTTTTGTTTTTCTTTCTTCGGACACAAATAGTAGGTTTGTCTTAACTGGGCCCAGGATTAATTTTAACATTGTGAAAGTATTGAAATATTTTGCGGTGTTTACTTCCAAAGCATTTCTCAAGCAGATATGTATTTTGTAATGTTTATTTTCGAGAGAGAGAGAGAGCAAGCGGGGCAGGGACAGAGAGGGGGACAGAGGATCCAAAGCGGGCTTTGTGCTGATAACACAGAACCTGACATGGGGCTCGAACTCGCGCACTGCGAGATCACGGTCTGAGTCAAGGTTGGACGCTCAGCCGACTGAGCCACCCAGGGGCCCCAGCAAATACGTTTTTTGTAACACCTTATGTCACGGGTAAAAATATTCCGAAGAATTACTACAATCCTAGAAATTTTGAGTCTTTGGAAAAATAAATGTGTCCTTTTAGTCAGAAGAGTATGTGATGCATTTTTCTTTCTTTTGACTCTCAGAAATTTGAAAGAGATGCCATTATATACCAAAGTCTTCTCTTGGCCGCTGTTCTAAATCAAAACCCTTGGAACTAATTCCTCAGGCGTTGTTTTTTAAGCTCACTGTGCCTGCTGCTACTTAGAACCATAGAAAGACTTGCTGGAGAAATCCGAGTCTCATAGGGCTGCTGTTGCTTCAGCTGATTGCTTTCCCGCCTTGCTGCCAGAGTGCGCGCTGCAGCACGTTGTCTCAGTTAATAAAGTAGAACGTTTGCCAAAACACCGAATTTGTACCATTTAAGCCTGGTTTGCTTCCCAAGGACTGGCCTTTCTCACTTGGCAGGTGCAACAGGGGTTTTTCAGATGTATTTAAACTCTTCCTCTAGATGTTCTCAGTCAGAGTGGGGCTTGAGGAAAAGTGGTTGCTCAGGTTAGCCCATTGGCAGCTCCTGTAGAAACTTGTTCCCTCCAGGGGCACCAGGAGCCCTGTCCCGTGCTGACTTGGTAGAGTGAACCATCTTCAGCCTTTCCATGTCCTCTCGTTGTTTTACTTACGTACTTAGCAGTTTTGTCCCTCGTGCTAGACAGCATGGGGAAGGTCATTGAATATGAACATGCCGTGGATATCCCAGGCCAGGGCGTGAAGGTGAAACGGGGGCGTATTTTCCAGATTGAAGTCAGGCTGTTTATAACCGGTGATCCTATTTTCTCCAAATGCCTTTTGTGTGTGTGTTTTATGACGAAGCTGTCCTCTTACTATTGTTTGACTCATATGAAGAAAGTTTTGTGAGACCATTATAATGAATGTTTTGACCAGAATATGCTGTTGTCCGTTACAGAATGAATCACATCTTCTTTTTCCAGGCAGCACAAATTGTGCTGATCTCTCTGTTTGAATTGAACACTCCCGAATTTACCATGTTACTTGGTGCCTTGCCAAAAACCTTCCAGGATGGTGCCACCAAACTCCTGCATAACCACCTCAAGAACTCTAGTAACACCAGTGTGGTGAGTGCCTCAGTCACGACTGGTGCCTCTGTACTGACCGTGACCTCTGCGAGTCCCTTGTCTAGACTTGGCTCTGATAGAATGGCCAGCTTTCTTGTTCTCTTTCAGTAAACTGTGGGTGTCTGGAGGGTGGGGGTGTGTCTGGCCCCTGCAATAGTCCCAACGAATGAGCGAACCTAGTGTTTAAGCATACCCTTTTTCTGAAGTGAGATTGTTCAAGCCGTTAAATTTTTACTTGGTCACTTAGCCCTTTGTTCACTGAATTACTTATGTTTTTCATGCTATAAAGATGGAAGGACTCAATTGTGTGTGTGACTCTGGCACAGGTGACATCAGACGGTTCAACTTGAGGAGCCCCTGCGTGACAGCTATCCGTTTGGGGTGTATCTGCACTTAAAATTGACCTTATCATTCTTTAAAAAAAAAAAAAAAAAGTTACCCCGATTGTGCAAGTATTTATCTTACTTCATTCTGCTTTCACCCCAGGGCTCTCCGAGCAATACAATTGGCCGGACTCCCTCCCGACACACCAGCAGCAGGACCAGCCCCCTGACCTCACCCACCAACTGTTCCCACGGGGGCCTGTCTCCCAGGTAATGCCATTTCCCCAAAAGTGAGGAAACCACCCCAATGTCTGTCCACCCCATTCCTAGGTTTTTAGACCAAGCTTAACACCAAAAAATGGATGGGTATCAGGAGATCATGGGGTCTAGTAGTCTGTATAATCTTGGGCAAAGCAGTTGACTTCTATGGCAAAATGGCCAATTTGTGCTGAATGTTCTTGGAGATTCTTCCAGCTCTAAGCACTCCCTAGTAACTTAAAGATTTTAAGGCTAAAAGCCACATTTAGTACTGTTTCACGTAGAAACGATTTAGAAATTCATCACCTATTTTGTAAGTGGTAGGAGTGCCTTATGGTATTTGTCATCTAAATAAATCCCTTGTAGTCCCACACAAGGCCTAGGATAGTTTTCCAAACCAGCAGTCAGTCATTCCAGGCATAGTTGCTGTAATTACAGGCTCACGTTTGAAGCCGACTCCTGCTCCAGAGAGGTATTTAGAACCTGAGAACTGAAATTAGATCATTGTTTTCAGACTTTGTTGGGACCGTGCAAGCATTGGTCTTACAGACTCTGAGTCAGTGGCTTTAAATAAGAAAAATGCCTTGTCCCAGCATCTGTAGACTTCTCCATCTGGCCAGAGCCTGTGGAAGTCTCTGCATGGTGACTTTAGTGACCCCCCCCCACCCCCACCCCCACCCCCGGTGTGTGTTGGAGCCTTCCATGGCCTCACACTGAGTAGTGGCCGTAGAGACCAGACTTGACAGTGCCCAGACGTGTGAGGGTCGTACGTACATGCTGTATTTGTCTCCAAGAAGGCCACATCTTTGAGGTCTCTGGGCACAAAGATCAGGGGCTGTGTCTTCAGGGTTGCCGACACCAGGATGACAAGAAGATACTGCAAGTACATGCCATCTTCCCTTCAAGGGTTGCCTCTTTAGTAGGAAAATATTACAAGTGCCTTTAAATTTAGATTTTGAATGATCAAGAGTCTCCCCAAATCTTCTGTCATGACCAATGAAGTCCTCTTGAGTTTCTCAAGTTGTCATCTAAGTATTTGGAGCATACCAAATTTGTATTTTTCTCTTGGTGACACAAAGTATTTTGTATACTTACAGTATCCTACCATTTGTATTGCCCTACTTCTAATCTCTCTAAATGCCCCTGGTGCCATGTTTAGGTAGAATGAAGAATGATGTCACGTCTCCCAAGTTTGGTCTGTGTTGTCATGATTTTGGCAGGCTGTTACGATCAGACAATTGAGATCAGAAGTGAGTGAAAATACGTCTGAATTTCCCCAGGTGTCACTGAAGCTCCACTATTTTTTTTTCTTCTTCTATGTTAACATCTGTATCTTAAGCATATGGCTAGTCTTAAATGACCAGGGTCTGGTGTTAATGGTAAAATCAGAGTTCTCTTTCTTGGGGCAGCGGAGTGGGGAGGGTTTTATGGAAAACTTGTATTCTCTGTAAATTGTTTCTTTTGTCTAGAAGTAATACTTCACCATTAATTGGGAAATCTGCTCTTCCATAATACATGATTCATACTCCTTATCTTTTATTTCATTATTAGGGTGGCACATTCCTTAGGTAATAAGCAAAAGGTAAAATGCAAGTTAAGTGTTTTATTATTATATGTGCTACTAGTCTAAGTAAAGGATCAGTGGCGGCTGCTAGCATAATCCAGCAGAGCTAAGAATTGGCTGGGTGTTAATCTTCATGGATCCCCAAATTATTAAAAATTTAATTTATTTTTCCAGCTCACCATTTATTTTTAATTGGTCTGGTCATAATTTTTATTGTCAGGATTGCAGATCAGTGGAAGGGATTAATTTTCAATATTAATATCATTTTCAAGATTAAGGCCAGTAGTGGCATAAATGTTTTCTTGTCAACAAATTCCTCTTTAGGGAATTATTTAGTTGTGTGGTTTCTTTATTTTTTAAAAGAATGTGCCCTCCGTCGGTGCGTACCTAGCTAGATGGCCTTAGCCAATTTGAACTCACAACCAAAACTGTCCAGAAGTGGGAAAAAAGGCTTCCTGTCATATCACTGGAAATACTCAAATAGGCCTCATACTTTCACCAGGAAAATTATAAAAGAAATGAACTCTTGCGTTAAATAGGAGAATGGACGAGGTTACCCCATTCCTAGGGAGGCGATAGACAAGTTCCACCACACATAATCCCAGAGTTTTCTGAGCAGTGCTCTTGAGGCATTTATTTTCTGTGACCTGCAGTTCTTTTGAATCATCTTAACCATAAAATGTTAGCTTTGTTATTCTTACAGGAAAAAGTCATTACCAATTAACTGCTTTTTAATCGAATTTTTTTGTATCAAAACAAACCATAGTATTTTTTTTTAGTCCCAAAATTCTAATGCTCAGATCATGGTGTGTTATTAGCAAATATTCTAAAATGATGAAAAAATCTAATTTGATAGTTACAGAAAAATTGCTAACGAGGAAGTTGTTTTTGCAATAGTATTAGAGAAGCCGGAGCTAACACTAAACCTTGGTGAAACATTCCATTAATTGTTTTTTTTGTGTGAGGGAAGAATTACTCCTTACCCCTAGCTAGTAAACAAATACTGCTGGGTATTTGAAGAGATTTGTAATCTGGAGTTTTGTCTTTAAACACATCCGTATATTTTAGCTCATTTTACCCAGTGTGATTTGTGTTAAATGAAAAACCGAGTTGCAAGGGGCTTCAGAAATCACAGGACATCCATTCCTTTTGAGATGAGAAAGCAGATGGCCTTCCCCGCCTTGGTCTGCTGAACGTTCTTGACAAACGTGATGTAGAGCAGAATGACACTGATAACAGAGCATCCCCTCTGTTACCTCCAGCAATAAAGGGTAATTTTAGGTGGATTTTACAGCCATTGCATCAGAGGATCAACAGTTTCCATAGAAGCCAAGTGGGGATTAACTGGGAAACTCAGCCTTCCGTAAGCTGTGGAGGGGCTGGTGCACCTCTCTGCTTTCCGCTGCACCTGTTAGCAGAACTCCAGGAGACATGGTCACCCGGATTCTTCTTGTACCTCTGCCCCGATTCAGTGTGTGACTTAGAGGTCTGTGGGCCCTCCTATGCTGTGGTGACCTCTCCTCTCTCCACTTACTTGCCTTCCAAAATAAGGCCACAGCTGTCTTTGGTGGAGACTAGCTCTCAGGACTATGATGAATGCCAGCCGCAGGCGGTGCTGCCCCCTGGGGACGTGGTCTCTGATGCCACGACTCCATCCTGGGCCTCAGATCACATTTCCTGCCAGGTCAGCGCACGCCTCTCCCAGTGTGTGTGGCTCCTCTGAATCGCAGCAGCTGTTAGAACTGTCTGTCAGGGCCTCTGCAGACCCAGGCCACTGAGTGACATTCACAAAGTGAAGAGGGCTGCCTGTGTTCTCAGATGCATTTTAATTCTCATAGTAGGTGATGTGAGTAGGGGAATTGTAACCCTCTAGTGGTGCTGTTACTCTTTCAGAAGGAAATTGCTTGTGGTGGCCTCTGAGCTCCCATCTGATTGGATCCTGGCCTCAGGGAGCACCTTGCCCCCTGCTTGAGTGCTCTGGACAGAATGGCACGTTCTCTGAATCTTCCTGCTGTGGTCCCTTGGTTCTCGTTTGAATTAAGGCCCGAAATTCCTTGTCTGGCTCTTTGTAAGACAGTTGGTTGCATTACCCGAAACTGAGCATCCGTGCCTATTTGTGTGTAAGTGCTCACAGTGTCCTTCCCCGTGCACACACACACCCCCAGTCTTACCCTTGGAATCTCACGTGATTTAAACATGTAACACACGATCGAGAGGGGAAGGAATAAAGCAGCCTCATCAGGGGCCAAACTGTAAAACAAAATTTGTTCAGTTTTCCTCTGTATGGTGAAGTGTACATTTTGCTGCAGTTAACTCTGACAGAGCCTGGTCAAGGAAGGAGGAGACCGGAAGACATTCAGGATATCGTGTCTTCCTGTCCCCTCCCCCCTCCCCTCCCCGTTGCCTTGTGTTGTCTCTCTCTGATTCTCCTCTTCTGATCACTGCAGTCGGTTATGGGGTTGGAGTGCCGATGGGCTATCGAAGCACCCACCTCCCTTTTCTCAGCCTAACTCCATTCCCACCGCTCCCTCCCACAAGACTCTCAGGCGCTCTTACTCTCCCAGGTAACAAGCTACCTGTTAACCTTGTCCGAGGTGTCACAATATTATTGCTTTTCCAGGGTCGTCTCAGGTCTTGTGGAAAGCCTCTGGCTTAGATGAGCAGGAGTAGAGCCTTGGTGAGAAGTGTGAGCAGGCACATGGTCTCTGGACCCGCATGAGTGCAGCTCCTGCCGCGGCCCAGGGACAGATGACTGTTTCATCAACTGGCCAAATCCGTCAGCACCCACTGTGGCCCAGGCAGAGCTGAGCCCCCCACCCCAAAAGGTGCTGGGACAGTGCCGTGCAGTCGAGGCAGGCGAGAGGGGCACAGTTTCCTTCGTATTCTTCTCAAGCAGACAAGGCATTCCCACCCAGAAGCAAATGAGACCTGCCCTGTCCCAAACCGTACCTGTAGCGCTCGTCCTGCTGTTGATGACGTGGACTGCTTTCTTGCATAAGGTACCCTCACGTGGCGATAGTCTGATCCAGAAGGGGAAGTCAGGAGGTTTTCACTGCTGCATCTCACTGAGGTGCCCTTGCCTCTGGGCAGTGGAGGGGTCAGTATCTAGAAGAAGGAGGTGGGGCTTCCTTCAGATTTAAGACGGATGGTAAATCAGTGGGACAAAGTAGGGCCCATGGATTCCTTTAGTTTACTGCTCGAGAGTCCTTTAGGTGCTTATTATAAAGGTCCAAAGATCAGAGGACCCCTTCCGTTGAAGCCTATAACTGCATGAGCAGAGCATAGGGCAGTTCAGCCATCTTTGTGCTGTGCAAAATGAGTTTGTGCCCTCTGATAGGATGGGGTAAAAACAAAACAGAAAAAGATCTGCTACTTCTGAATGCTTCACAGATAGCTTTTGCACAGAAGCTTTACATTTCTACTTTTGTGTCCTCAGCACAATGAAGCTGTACATATGAACAAGTCCGCTGTGTCGGGTTTTAACAACACCTTTCTTTGGAAACTCTTATAGGTCTAAGAGTAGCTTCCCAAGTGTTCAGAGAATCCTATAATGACTGTTACTAGATACGCAAGGTTAGGGAAAGGGCACAGCAACAACGTGACCACTGCTGTGGTCAATGTTAATGAAGCGTGTCGCTTTACTTCCTTTTTTAAAAAAAAGATGAGCCAGGCCTCGAAGTAGAAGTCCCATTTATGACTGTCTTCCAGTACACTGACCTGTGTGCCCTAATGGGCACTAAACTTCACCCCCAGCCACTCTCAAGACCCCATTTCCAGAATCATCCTTCACACATACACAGTAACACAGCTGATGCTAATAAATACCCATTAACTTTTGTTGGCCATCGGAGGGAGAGAGCATTGACAAGAGACTTTTACATTTAGAAAAACCTGTCCGTTACATAAAAATAAGAGGAAACCTTTGTCTCTTTGCTCTCTGTCAAAACTGTGTTGATGGCATAACACGAATGATTATCCTAATTCCATACCTAGAATCTTAGTGTCCTTCCCACTGCAGACATATTTTCCCTACAAAATGACAAAAGAGGAAAATCTGAGAAAGCAACCTTCCTGCCTCTGGTGTCTCTCTTCTTGGAGACCTGACCTCACCCATCTCCCCACCCTTGATATGGACCCTTTACAACAGGGCAGGTCCAGAGCTCTATTCTGCCCCAGTGTTGGGTGGCATGGCCTGACCTTAGGCCAGTGAATATTGACCCATTGAGCAACTCTTCCTAATCTGAAGAATTCTAAGGAAACCCTCTGGGGTCTAATCGCAGTGTTTACAGAAGACCGGGAGCTGGCCTGTAACTAAAGGATTACGTCTCTGAGCTAGGGGTCAGGTGGCAGACTAGGGTCTACCTAAGCAAAGCCTCCTCTAAGAAAGCCACTGCGTCCCTCTTGCTGTGCTCTCTTATGTTCTGCTGGCCGGGACCCCGGTATCTGGGATTCCCCGATGACAGCTTTCGTGGGAATTTCCTTTTTCCCTACAAAATGAGGGCTCGTAGGCATCGATTCGGAAAAAAACAAATGCCAAAACATGAACTAGCGAAGAAAGTAACGTTATCTGGTTCGTGTTGGAGAAAAGCCATGCCGTCTCTCACCTGCCGCTCACAGTTTTAGCTTCGTACCAAGGAGATACTTCAAACCTCAAGTCTAAAAGAAGTGTCACCCCGGATTGCAGCCGGTCATGCACATGTACTCCTCACTATTAATTGAAAGTAAGAAGGAGGAGCATTAACTGGCAGAATCCTTTATTTTCTTATTTTGAGACGAGGCTATAAAGTTCTGTGAACGGACGTGAAATATTTTAAGGCCATTGAGGTTACGAATAATGAGATGAATGAAGTGAAAGCTAATGTTATCTGAAGCGACATATGGAAAATAATATTGTGACATCCCTTAAAAAGCTGAACGTTCCGCCAGACTTGCTCTTGTCCATCTGTCATGCTTTCAGTTGTTTTTTTTCCTTTTTTGCATGGGCTATGCTATTATTTTTGGTTGTTGTGATTAAAAGTATTTTAAGGCATCTTTTTTACATCTCGTATACATAATTTTTTGTTTGAGTCATACTCAGTCTTTATATATAAAAAATAGTGTACTGGCCAGATGTATAAATGCCTTTGCTCCCACGGAAGCTGGTATTGTGGTGTTCTAGAAAGGAGGGGCAGGGACCGACCCCCTGTGCTCCTCAGTCACGCTTTCTTCACATTAAAGTGATGTTGCCCCATAGACAGACAACCTTATGAACTTAGCAGGGGTTGACATCTTGAATTCCATTCAGGTTTTTCCTTCCACTTCCCGTCAGTATATACATGGGACTTTAGCTGTTAACATGTTCATTCACATTTCTTTGTGTTTGCTGCCAGAGCCCGTCTTTGAGTTGGCATGTATTTTTGTGAGCTCTCCAAGCACAGTTGGGGTATAGATTTTCTTTCATTCATCAGAAAACAAGAAAGTTCTATCTGGGCGAGTTTTGCAATTTTAGGCAAATAGCTCCCATCTCCAAAGGTGAGTTCAGATGTTGTGCCCCAGCAGGACGTGTCCAGCCACAGAAAACACCTGGATGGTTCCAACCGCGAGCCAGTAGAGGTCTGGCTCCTCCCAAGTGAGGACCGTCGACCTCTTATCTTGCTCATCTGCCCAAACCATTAAAGAAGAAAGAAAAGAAAAGGTGGCGAGGGGGGGCTTAGTAAATATTATTTGTTTGTAAGCTACAGGAAACAGCCTCTTGTGAGAACGTACAGGGTTGGTTGTGTCGCACGTAGGAAAGGTTCCTGCCAGCGATGGTCTAGTTTCAGTTACTTCTTTTGAAGAACGAAAGACTGCATGTCTTTAGTCCTGAATGATGTTGTTGAATGCTCACTTAAACACACCCAAGGATTCTTTGTCCCTAGCAATCCTCAGTGTAGCTCCAAGACTTTGTGGAAGTTCACTTAGACCAACTCATCTGATCTTCTCTTCAAGTTTGTTTAAAACACGTGACACTCAAATGAACACAGTTGTTTTGCCTTTACCCTTGGTTGACTGTTGCTTCATGTTTTGCCTTCTTTATGCTGTGCTTTATCCTGTGCTTTTCTTGGATACTCTCGGTGAGGGACGGCGGGCTATTCTCGGGACCCGCTTCCGGGCACTCTCCAGACCGTGAAAGGCTGCCTGTTGACACCCTATACATGACACCCAAAGGCTACTTGGGATTTTTGCTTAGTTTCTGATTGTGCTCTGCTCAGCCCACTAAAGGAACAATCGTTGGCATCACTTTTCTGTAAGGGACGAATGTTTCTTGCTTTTTCAAATACTTCTAGACATCCATCTAGGAACGTGACTCATCTGTATAAGATCTGTTTTTATTGTAAAACGCAAAATGTCAGCACCTTGGAAGAGTTTGATATTCACAGCAAGCTCCTGGGTTAGATGGCACAAGAGAGACTGTCGGGAGCCTTTCGGTAGGGTGGATCTAACTTGGAATCGTTTTTGAACGTAGGGTTTTATTTCACAAGTTTCTAACCCCGGTGAGCATTACCCAGTCTTGTGAGGTCATTAGCTTTGCCCCTCTGAAACTTGCTTGTGACACTAGCTTTATTTTGAAGTGCCCACCCCTCTTACCCGTTTGTACATTTGAGACCAGTAACAACCAGACTCCTTGTTTCCATCTTCAAGATACGAAAGTTATTTTTCCACTTTCATTACCTCGTGCATTGTCACCAGTTGTCACCCTTTGAGTTCTTGCATTCTTGTGGTTATTGCTGTGCCCCCCACCGGGTCTTACCGAGTGCTGATGTGATGTGTTTGGGGCCTGGTTTGACAAGGAACACGTGCAGTTGTCCAGTGGTGGCACTCTAACAGGTGTCTCCTTTTCATTCCAACTCGCCTAAAGACACGAAATTGTAATTATACCTCACTCCATAAACTGTTGGAAGTAATTTATATCCATGCCTCAAATTTATGCGTGTGCTTCAATTTAAGAAATACAATATCTTTTGATCCTTTAGCATGCTGGAATATGATACAGAGAACCTGAACTCTGAAGAAATTTACAGTTCTCTGCGTGGAGTTACAGAAGCCATTGAAAAGTTTAGTTTTCGAAGCCAAGAGGATCTGAACGAGCCAATTAAGCGAGATGGCAAAAAGGACTGTGACATTGTAAGTATCCCCGGGCTAACAGAGAACTGTATTTCGGTGAAGTGAGAACGCTGAGGACTGACCACGTGAACACTGAGCTTCATCATCATTTGTGTCTTGTAGCTAGAAGAGTATTATCTTAAGAGGCCCGAGGCAACTTTAGAAAATTTTGAGTGACCCCCAGCTCTCTTTGTGAAGATTGTAAACTATCTTGTCCCCCGTTTGCCTTTGTTTATCCTGGACATATTTTTGTTCCTGTGACGTGATGAAAATAGTAGGCCTGAATCAGACAGCAGCGTGGTTCTCTGGGAGCTGTAGTTCCTGCAGAGGCAGGCGGATCCGTGGGGAGTGGTGGTGCGGCGGGAGCGGGCAGGGCTCAGTACTGATGAGTCAGGCTGGGCCGGTCCCGGTGCTCAGAGGTGGTGCTGTCCTCGGAGCCGCGTGAAGCAGGGTTCGAGGGGAGTGTGTGGTCAGATAGGAGGACGGGCCTAGGAGAAAGCAGAGAGGTGGCAGGGGGCATGGCATGAGTTCTCTTTGCGGTGGCTGGTGTGCAGAGAGCGGGCCTGTCGTGTTGGTGGCCAGGTTTGGGGAGGAGGCTGCAAGGGTGGCTCAGGAAGGGTACTCCCTTTCCTGCTGGTGTCTGACTCCACTCGGGAGTCACTGGAGATTTTTAACCAAGGAAGTGGCGTGGTCACACTTAAAATTTTAGGAAACCTGCTGCCCCTCTGAGATGGAGAATGACTCTGGAGGAAGTGGGGTCGGTAAGGCATGAGCTGAAATAACAAGAGTCCGAAGTCTCTGGCTAGAACTGTTAGGTGCTTGTGCCGTTCAGTGAGATCATATCACAGAAGGAGAAAAAAATGTGTGTTAACCCCTTTGGAACTTAATGAGTTCAGTTTTGGATGTGTGTGACTTGGGAGACATAGGGAGTATCCAAGCACACATACTCCTTAGGCCTTTGCAGATACCAGCCTGCAGTTCAGGCTGGCCACTCGGCCCGGAGATGAAACATTGGGAGACGTTGACTGGTTGCCTGATGGTAACTAGAAAGTGAGTGAAATCAACCAAGTAAAGGGTAAGGACAAAATCCTGGGGAGCATCAACACTAAAGGGAAAGACGGAAGAAGAGGACTTGGGAGAAGGGCTACAGGTTATTATTGCATGGGAGACCAGGAGAGTGGGGTATCAGAGAATTTAAGGGAAACTTTGGGAAAGGCCTTGTAGCCAAAGAGGTGATGCTGCAAAGACAGCGACCGGCCAGACGTGAAGGGAAAGGACTCCGCTGGATTTTTTTTATTTTTTTATTTTTTTTACGATCTGCATCAAATACTGTATTTTAGCTGAAAGTATATAAAACACACGTTTATTCACCATTGTTCTGATGTAGAGCCACGACTTCTTCTTGGAGAATGGACCCACGGTTTGGATTTCCATGTTCTTCTTCTCAAATAAACTTTACGCACAGTCCTGGTCTACGGTTTCCAGATCTAGTTTCTTCCAGGAGCCCCATCTGTTTTGTGAGCACCGTTCAGAGCAGAGCTGAGCGTGGAAAGCAGAGTGCAGTGGGTTGAGGACCAGCTTGAGTAACAACCTGGACATTGAGGAGGGATCATTCAGGACCTTTTCCCCGGGGAGATCTGCCCCGTCTGAATGCACATGGGACCAGTTAGGAGAAAAGTGTGGACAATGCCGTGGCAGGGCGTGGGTGATTGGTGGACACGGGTCCTTGAGGACATGGCAGAGGAGGCAGTCTGGGCACTGGTGGCCGTAGCTGGGAAGCAGGGTGGGCTGGGTTGATGTGGGGCCAGGAAGTGGAGGGCATCCCCACTGACCGCTCCCACTTTCTATGGGCAGCAGAAAGAGGCCGACCTGACTCCGGGAGTTCAGCTGTGGTGAGGAGAGTGGAAAAGGGCTTCCAGAACACCTGTGGGGAGCGAGGGGCTCAAATTAGGGAATCCGAAGCCCTGCTAGGAACAATAGAGGCCCTAAGAGAAGGTGGATGCTTTCGTGTGTATTTTTCTGTTTCTTTATATATATTTATGCAGCTGTATGCTTGGAGTAGGCTGTAGCATGTTTTTGTTTGTTTTTGATGCAAGTGACATCACGGTGTGCATTCTGTTGAGTGTAGCATGTGAGCACTTTCCCCCCGTCTGCATTCTCCTGTGGGAATTTTTATGTTCAGGTGAGAATTTGTCACATGGATACCACAATCATGTACTCAGTGCCCTATTTTGGAACATTTGAGTGATTTCCGCTTTTTCAAAGCATAAAAATTCTCTGGCGAAGTTGAAAGGGGTGAAGCTTGCCGAGTGAAGGTAGCAGACGAGGCATGGAAGCAGGATTGTCATTGGTGGGATCGGCAGGATGGGGTGCAGGAACCCCCAGGCCAGACAACAGGGTGGGTGACAGGATAGGAGAACATGAGAGGACGAAGTGGAAATTGTTGAACAGGTTCGAAATTCACGATCTTAGCTGCTGATTACCAGAGTGTGAGCAAAGAAGCTGGGCTGGGGGTGAAAATGCATTATGTGTGAAAGACTCGGGAGCCAGTGTACCTCTTTGGTTTGATAAGTGACCCAGTGTAATAAGACAGACCTCCGTAAGGATGAATGTCAGAGCCACTAGGAAGACAGTTCCCCAAAGCAGAGATGAAAACGTTCAACGTGCAGGAGAAAGTCCATCCTTACGGGTGATTACAGAAATGCAGCAAACATACATTTGAGGCTCCACTTTATTTCTAAATTGTTCCGCTTTGTTTCGGGTAGAAAGTAGAATATTTAATGCTTCAGGATATGAGGGAACTAGTGTAATATTGGTGGCATGGGAACTTGATACAGTTGCTTTGGAGCTAAGTAAAATTATATTCGGCATAGGTGATTTTAAGTTTCATATCCTTTATCAAGTAATGTAACTTTTGGCAATCTGTGCTAAATAACAAATGCAGCAAAAGGTAAGAAAGGTATTATGTTACAGTGTAGTTTATTTCAGAGTTGTCTATAATAGCAAAAAATAGAAGCATTAAAAAAAGTAGAAGGGGAATGGTTGAGTAAATCTTACTAGAACACAAGTAGAAATAGTGGTGTGATTAAACAATATGTTATTTTTTTTTAATTTCTTTTTTTAATTTTTTTTTTAACGTTTATTTTATTTTTGAGACAGAGAGAGACAGAGCATGAACAGGGGAGGGTCAGAGAGAGAGAGGGACACACAGAATCCGAAACAGGCTCCAGGCTCTGAGCGGTCAGCACAGAGCCTGACGCGGGGCTCGAACTCACAGACTGCGAGATCATGACCTGAGCCTAAGTCGGCCACTTAACCGACTGAGCCACCCAGGCACCCCATTAAACAATATGTTATTAAACACTTTATTTACATGGGACATTCTTACACTATGAGAAAAGCAAAATATATGACAGAATGTGTGCCGTGATTCCCACTCTGCAAAGTCTGCATGAAGATAAGGACTGGTTTAAATATACAAGTTTAGAAAGTAAGAATTTTTTTTAGGGACACCTGGGTGGCTCAGTCCGTTAAGCATCCGACTTTGGCTCAGGTCATGATCTCACAGCTTGTGAGTTCGAGCCCCGCATCAGGCTCTGTGCTGACAGCTCAGAGCCTGGAGCCTGCTTCGGATTCTGTGTCTCCCTCTCTCTCTGCCCCTCCGCAACTTGTCCTCTCTCTCTCTCTCTCTCTCTCTCTCTCTCTCTCTCTCTCTCTCCCTTTCTCAAAAATAAATAAACATTAAAAAAAAATTTTTTTTTAAAGAAACATTTAAGTCAAAAGTCATCACCACCTACAAAACAGACTTCAGATGTAAATTAACAGACTTTACATGTAAATTAGGGAGTGGAGAGGGGAAAACATAAGTGTTCAGTTCCCGCTCAGGTAGTTTATGAATTGGATGGTTTACAGATTGAAACCTAGTAACTATCCTTTGGTCAGTGGCCAGATTTCAAGGGAGAAATCTGGCTGTCCCAATACTTCTGAAAATGTAAAGGAAGAGTTTGTTAAAAGTCCTAAAAAGGAACTGACCTTGTGCCGTGCCTCAGGTGTCCCGCGATGGTGGAGTTGCGTCGCCTGCCACGGAGGGCCGGGGAGGCAGTGATGTGGTGGAAGGAGGCAGAACGGCCCTGGACAACAAGACGTCCCTCCTCAACACCCAGCCCCCCCGCGCCTTCCCTGGGCCGCGGGCGCGAGACTACAATCCCTACCCCTACTCGGACACCATCAACGCCTATGACAAGACAGCCCTGAAGGAGGCCGTGTTCGATGATGACATGGAGCAGCTTCGAGATGGTTTGTTCCTCTTTGCTTGACCCCCATCCAACTCCCCCCCCCCGCCCCCCACCATCCAGAAGAGCTTTCGGTGGCTCTCTCTGGGGTGTAGAGGGCAAACACACATGCAGACAGTCCTTCGTTTAGCCACTTACTGAGCCCCCACCATGTGCTTAGGCATGGAAAGCACATCTGTGCACAGAAGCGTGCACAGTCCCTGCCCTCTGGAAGCCAGCAGCCTGGCTTTCGTAGAGCCAGTCACGAAACCAGGAGCTACCCGTGACCCAAACTTAGGGCTGCACACTGTGCAGTGAAGGAAGGTCAGCTGTGCCCCTCAGGGAAGGCTTCCGCGAGGCACAAGGGCCTGAGTGGAGGTCAGAAGCGCGAGGGGAGTAGCAGTTAGCGGGTGGGAGGCAGAGGCACAAGCCATCCCAGCACAGGCTCCGCGTCTGTGTGTCCTCTCCCAGCCCTGAGCTATGGAAGGAGGGCCCGGTAGCACCACTGAGAGCCCCCTGCTTTTCTCTCACACCAGCGTTTTAACCAGGCCTTCCTGGAGCTGCTTTGGTTGACTTCTGTCTCATAGTTCAGAGAGAGGGGATCTGGCATATACTGAGCTCCTGCATTACCATGTGCTTTCCGCTCAGCTGCTTTCTGTACATACCTAATGAGATAGAAGGGACTATTTCCATTTCACAGGTTAAAAAACTAACATTCAGAAGGGTTAAGTTACTTGCCCCAAATATAACATACTTGGCACGAACAGAGCTAGTCTGATGACGTGCTTTGTTTTCTGACACTTGTGTTAAGACCAGTGTCCATTACTGAGTAACCGGTGAGTAAGCGTGCATTGGAATGATGCTGTTTTTGTCTGGAACTTAATTAGTTCTTTTTTCACCTGGTCGTCACGTTCACATAATAGTTATTTTTTTTTTTAATATACGTATATATCCGTTTTGTTTCCAAGCCTTTGTTTTGTTTTTCAGTTTTAAATGAAGAATTAAATCAGAACCCTAAATTAGAACCCTAAACAGGTAGCATTCACTGTGTGTCATGAAGTGTATAGCTTGCTGGGGACAAGGAGGCAAATCGGACAGAGTCCTTGGCCTGAGAGCAACTCATGGCCTGTCCGAGAAAAAAGACCTAACACAGTGGCACTGGAAAGAGAGGGCGCCTCACTAGAGCAGCTGCTGGTTTCAGTGGGGACACAAAAGAAGGGGAACTGGGGGGCGCCTGCCTGGCTTAGTTGGCAGAGCACGTGACTCTTACTCTCAGGGCTGTGAGTTCAAGCCCCACAATAGCGATGGGATCCTAAGACAGAAATGAAGTCCTGCAGTCGTCTGAAGGCATGTGCCCAGGTGGTTACTTGCCGTGGGTAGCAACTCCGTAAATTCCCAGGGATTCCCAGTGCCTGTTCACTGGGCCCAAGGCCAATGGCTTGGTGGTTATTATGAGTTGCACTTTTTAGGAGTAGTGGGCTGTTTCCTTTTATTGTTCAGACAGTTGACACATCATTTAACTTACCCATTTGTTCGTCTTGTTTAAGATAGAACAGAGATTGGGGTGTTGGTTGTTCCCCTATTTACCAACTGCGTAAAAGGCTTCCTAAACTCACTAAATTTATGTAAGGCTTACCAACTGACTAAAAGGCCTAAAGAGAAAAGTGGAAAGGCAGGGGGGAAATGATTGAGTTCTTTAACATTTCACACTTCCTGTGTGTTTGTTCCCTCACACCTTAGAAGCTAAAAAAAAAAAAAAAAAAAAAAGTATGAAAATACAAATTTAAGTAGTTCCTAATGACTTGTCTCTGCCTTTTCATCCTCTCTATTGAAAGGAAGTGTTCAGAGTTGAGGTCTCTTAAGTTCATGGGAAGAGAAAGGATAGGTGTTTCATGGCTGAAGCCCTTTTGCTAAGTGGTTTTGGCACGTTGTACAGTCTGTGCATAGACAGTCCACGCACAGGCTCAACACCTTGATTAGTATTTGTTTGCTGTGCTGGTTACTAAGCTCTGGACGTTCGGGGAGGGAAGGAATGTCAGACGGGTCAGTGAGGAGGGCCTGGAGGAAAATGTGCCCGTGTCAGTGGGTGTGACGGCGGGAGGGGACTGTCCAGGGGTGGCCTGACTTGGAGCTGCTGCAGTGGAGATAGATTTGGGGGGAGGAGGACAGTCACGGAGAGACTTTTAGGTGGCTTCTCCTGTTTGTCTGAACTCGAAGGGGGAAAACGACCGTGGGGGAGGGTAAGGATGTTGGTATTGGTACTTGACATCTGTTCCCACATCTCCGTTTTCCTGTTTGGTGAGACGGCCTGCTAAGGGTGTCACGAGCGGGCAGCAGAGAAGGGTGAAGGGCACGGGGCAGGAATGACGGAGGGGGGCTGCCTCTGGGAGCGGAGAGCGGGCGGAGGGCGCGTCCACAGCCCGGGGTCCTCGTGAGGTGACTTTGTCTCGGTGTCTCTCCAGTGCCCGTTGACCATTCTGACTTGGTGGCTGACCTTCTGAAAGAGCTGTCCAACCACAACGAGCGGGTGGAGGAACGGAAAGGCGCCCTGCTGGAGCTGCTCAAAATCACCCGGGAAGACAGCCTGGGCGTCTGGGAGGAGCACTTCAAGACCATTCTGCTCCTGCTGCTGGAGACGCTCGGAGACAAAGACGTGAGGCGCCTTCCTCGTCCTTGCGTTCCCGCCTTCCCGTGTGACGGGCTGTTAAGTCCTGTCGTTCTGGACTTTGGCTTCAGCTTTATTTCTGTACTGTGCCTGCTGTTTACATCAAAACGTTTTCCAAATATTTTCTGAGCACCAGCTAGTGAGGTCATGTTTCTGTCAGAGACGGGCCCCGTTCCTAGCTTATTTATGTGTGTGTTTTCTTCTGTCATTGGGTTTGTAGGAGTTGAGGGAAACTTGTTCCTGCTTCAGGTTGCTTTGTTTAACACAGAATTTCTTAAACCTTTGTTAGCATGGAATGGTTTTTTACAATGAGGTTTTTTTCTGTGTGAGTTTTAGGTTCCACGTGTAACTGAGAAATAGAGAAGTTCATTTTTTAAGAGACCCTACTAGATGCTGCCTTCCCTGAAGTTCTGTGTAGATGCAGCCGGCATCTGTGAGCAGCAACAGTGATTTTAACTGGTTAAGCAAGCAGTTCTGGAGCATGGGTTGTTTTCTGTTATCTTCTGTATTATTTTTTTAAATCAAAAGCCCTCTTTGCCCTGTGACCTTTGAGTGTGACCAACGAGGAATTTGTGCCGTGCCCGGTCCGTAATCCACACCTGGGACCACGTAGATGACTCTTAAAGGGGGGCGTAACCTAGTCAGAGTCCTGCCTTCTCCCAGCTGCGTGCCGGTCCCTTGTGCGCAGACAGCAGCAGATGTTGGGAATTGTCTGAGTGAAACTCTAGAAGTAAAAATCCACCTGTGCACTGGGCTTTGTGGAGGCCGCGGAAACAACGAAGCAGGTGTGATGAAGAACTCAAGGGCAGGACCAGGTGGATTTTGAGGAAGCTCAACACAGCCCACGGTGAAGGTCCCTCTCGGGGTCACGTTGATGGTGACTCTGATGGAAGACGGGTGCACAGGGGGCCGGCGAATGCGGTGGCTCTGATTGCTTTCTGATGCTTCGGGTTAATGGTTTGGCGGAGGGTGGGGACAGACAGAAGTACAGTGATGGAGGAGGGTGGGGACAGACAGAAGTACAGTGATGGAGGACCTACAGTCACTTCCCTTACAGCCTGCTTGGTCAGGCTGTGTTGGGAGATAGTGATCTCACGTAGAGAGCAGGTAGATGGTCCATTAGTGAGCCAATAGCACAGACGAGTGACGAAGAATCAGGATGTAGTTTTTGGCTCAGTTTGGTGTAAACCCCTTTTCTTTTACTGAGATTAGGAGCCCATGTGGAACGGTTTTCCTCCAAACGCACAGCTTGGGCCTCAGACACCTCGAGGTGTGTACACACCACCCTCCCCCGTGATCTCATCACACAGAAGGTCGGGAGTAAAGACAGGTCTGTGGCTGTCTTACAGGCCGTGTTGATGAAGTGGTTAGATGCTTGTTACCTGTTCTTTACCAAAGGGTAATTTGCATACCGACATCTCAGAAAACGTGGAAATCCTCCAGGAGATTGATAATGAACTTAGATGTATCGTCCTCATTCGGTCTCATTTGGTCCTCTTTTGGCTCATTCCAGAAACCTTCCTCAGGTCTTAGGTGCTGGGTCCTGGGAATGTCAGCGTAGGCATAGCACCCGCCTCATGGGACTGGCTGTCTCAGCCTGTGCCACGCTTGCAACGTGACCTGCGTTGGGTGCCAGCAAGGTGCCAGGGGAGCCCAGGGCTGGGTGCCTGGCCTTGCCGGGCGCTTCTGGCTAGTATGTTCAGTGAAGCACTGTGTTGTTTGCTGATGTCTTCCTTTCCTCTGATACTCCAGCATTCCATCCGAGCACTAGCATTGAGGGTTCTACGGGAAATTCTGAGAAACCAGCCCGCAAGATTTAAGAACTATGCCGAGCTGACGATTATGAAGACTCTGGAAGCCCACAAAGACTCCCATAAGGAGGTAAGCCGGCCTCTGGCCCAGGAGTGCCGAGCAGACGGGCCTGGGGGTGCAGTGAGGGTGTGGGGAGAGAGGGGTGTGGATCAGTGTGCAGCCTGACTAGGAGTCGCTCCCTTTGGGGGGCACCTTGGGAGGGGGGGGCTCAGTCAGTTAAGGGTCTGCTTCTTGCTCAGGTCGTGATCTCACAGTTCGCGAGTTCGAGCCCCACATCGGGCTCCCTGCTGTCAGCATGGAGCCTGCTTGGGATTCTCTCTGTGCGCCTCCCCTGCTCTCTCTCTTTTGCTCTCTCTCTCTCAAAAATAAATAAGTAAGCTTAAAAAAAAAACAAAAAAAAAAAACGTGAAACAAAAAAAGAGTCGCTCCTTTGGAGCTCGGCCCAGGCCATGGTTCAGGGTGACAGTCCCAGTGCTGGTGTGGCGGCTGAGCCCAGGTGCCATTCAGGGCCTGGTGCCACTTGGTAGGTTCCTGACTCCCACACGTACAGCAGGCCTGACCTGTCCTCAGGGATTTCCTGGTCGGTGGCTCCCAATTGCTGTGGTCAGAAGGAGGGGGCTGCCGTTTTCCTGGTGACATTCGGCACCTGCCAGGCTGCTATTGGGAGATCGAGGTTGGCTCGAGAGACAGATGTGCAAGTGCTGGAACCCACGCTTCCTTGCTCCACGACCTCGGACAGGTTCTTTCAGCTTCCGCATCTCAGTGTGCTTGTGGGTAAGGTGGAGGAGGACGTTGTCACGGTTTCTTGTGAGAACCGAATGACATGGCCAGTGACGACAGAAGTGCTACATATACCTGTCGGTCTTCCTCCCTCCCCTCCCCTCTCAGTGTGCCCCTCTCTGCAAGTTCAGGATGAAGGGAGGCAGCCATGTCCTGCCTTTCCTCGCTCCTGAACGTGTAAAATGCTAACAACTGTCCTGGCACCTCAGACGCCTACTGGAGAGTTGGAAAAATGTGTTTCTGTGCCCCGCACACTTACGACCGGCCCTGATTGGACCCGCAGTAAGTCCAGCCGGTTGCTCGTTGCCTTGTCCAGCCCCTGGGGCTCACCAGTCCTTCGAGTGCCTAGAGACCTACAGAGAACAGTGAAATACAGATGGTTTCAGTAACGCCTTTCCAATCAAAAGCCCTGTGGGAAATTGGACTGTATACTGAGAACATTAGAAAACCTCGATGGATTGGACCCCAAGTGAGAATAACCTGCTTAGTTGAGTCTCGTGGCTCACACGTGATTCTCACGGGCACACTCGTGGATTAAGGGAACGGCAAGAATACGTCAACAAAAAGAATCTGGACCCCAAATTGTGCTGTTTCTCTGTTTAGCAGCTTATGTGGCTGCCCAGCGGTGACAGGTTTGATCTCCTGAAACCCTCACCACAATTGCAGGCTCAACAAGGGTAGGGGTCTCGCGTTCTGTCTAGGCATCTCCACCTGATGGGCCTGGCACAACACGGGTTCATAAAGTGATAGATACATTTTTGTTTGTTTTTTTTTTTTTACATTTATTCATTTTTGAGACACAGAGCACAAGTGGAGGAGGGACAGAGAAGGGAGACACAGAATCCGAAGCAGGCTCCAGGCTCCGAGCTGTCAGCACAGAGCCCAATGCGGGGCTCAAACCCATAAACCGCGAGATCATGACCTGAGCTGAAGTCGGACGCCCAACCGACTGAGCCACCCAGGCGCCCTAAGTGATAGATACGTTTTTAACCTGTTGACGCTTCAGAAATCTGGCTTCGTCGTGTGCTAGTACAAATCACTCATGTTTGAACAGAACGCTTTCCTGTTACAATAACTCATGTAAAGTGTGAGGACCCGTGAGCTAACATAGCCAACGCCATTATTCCTGAGTGAGGGAAGAGGGTCCAGAACATGCTGTCATTTGTCAGGTGATGCATGGCAGGTATTGGCAGAACCAGTATGTGAAGCAGGTTTTGTGTCTCTTAGGGCAAGTGGCCTGGCCTGTGCTGACCTTTTTCTCTTCTTTTTTAAACCCTAAGAGCCTCTTCTTGAATACCTGACCAAAAACCGAAGTAAAACTGTTCTCTCGGAAGCACCTGATGCTGTTTCCTCTGGAGAGGACCTACTTAGAATGTGGCATCGAGGTGACACTAAGCCCTCCGTAGTGTGTGGCGCTTACTGACTATCCCCTTGGAGGATGTCTGTGTTTAAAGCTGGCATCCTGATCTTAAACTGTGAAACTTTGCCAGTGGACCCTAAGGAGTACAGCTGAGCAGAATTAAATAGTCTGTTTCTTACTGAGCTGTCTTCTTGAGGGATCTTGTTTCTTTGGGGTGTTTTTCCTCCTGCAAAATGAGAAATTCAGTAGAGAAAGTTCTTTGGCGTGAACTCTTTTAAATTGCCTGAGGGACAGAAGCAGAAAATACCTGTTGCTTAAAGTAAGCTTAGCAGCCCTTAGTTGTCCTGTGGCCTCCCTGTTACCCAGGGTCTCCTCACTGCCGTCACTGATCACCTGACCAAGCAGGTGGGGAAAACATCCTGTTCCCAGTAAAGGAGTGCCTTTATTGGCAGGCCTGCCCTGCTTTGCATACTTCGATACTCACCTTGAGTGCCCTTGTATTTTCCTTGTGAAACTTCACTCTGTCACTTGGCCAGAAGCTCCCAGCCTTGGGCACTTGTGTATATTTAGGATTATGTATGGTTTCTTTGTCTGTCTTTTCTTTTGAAATTCTTCTAGTCTTTCTCTTATTTTACCCAAACTGTCTCCATCCATCATTCCCTTTTTTGTTTGTTTGTTTGTTTGTTTGTTTGTTTGTTTTTTAGGGCAGAATAGTTAGACGCACATCAAGTTCGTGCTGTGGCCATCTTGTTGGCATAGAATATTGCACATGGTAGTTCTCTGGTGTTATGTTTTTTTTGTCACTACATTCAGACATGGTTCTGACATTTCTTGGGAAGGATCTAAAATGTTTCTAAACCCAGTGACTGAGTCAGTCATGCAGAAGCAGAGTCTACTCTCCTAGCTAATTGGTACTTCCAAAGCGTGTTCATTCCATTGAGCTTTCCTGGAACTTCCTTCTCTTAGGAAACTCGTTGGTTTTGTATTCACAGACAGAACCCAGGCTTCGGCAGGACACAACAGGCTGACACAAGGCTGCTCTGGGACCTTAGCCCCAGATGTCCCTCCTTGCCCGCTGGGGCAGTGGCCGCACTATGGTGCACACGGGCAGTGGCTCTGGGACTGTAGCAGTGAAGGACAAGTTACTGAAATGCCATTTCTAGAAGTTGAAATTTGTCATAAAAGCTCTCAGGGGAGATGAATATCTCATCCTTTAAGCCACGGTCTGTGTTCTCAGGGTCTTTTAAAAGGAACCGTGCAGGCAAAACATGTTTGTTACACATTGGAAACATACCAGGCAGTAGATCTCGCTCAGGCGTCCCTCATCTTAAGCCAACACAGATTTAAGTAAGCACCATAGAGGATTTGGATACCAATTTAGAGTTTCTATTGAAGAAGTTGGTGTTTGTCAGCTAAGACATGGTTTCATATTCCTTATTTGAATAAGTACATCTCCTTCATTATCTGACTCCTTTTTTTTTTTAGTGTTCTATTATAGTTTTATTTTTTTAATATGAAGTTAATTGTCAAATTGGTTTCCATACAACACCCAGTGCTCATCCCAAAAGGTGCCCTCCTCAATACCCATCACCCACCCTCCCCTCCCTCCCACCCCCCATCAACCCTCAGTTTGTTCTCAGTCTGACTCCTTTTTATCTGTTTAGTAAATAAACATTGCTACAGAGTTTCAGTATCTCCTTAATGAAGTCACCACGGTTTACAGTAGTGTTAGCTTATAGCAAGCATCTTAAAAAGGGCTGAGGACTTGTTAGTGACCTTCAGAAATCTGAAGCCCATTTTCTGTTTTAAAAGAAAACTCCATTCATTTAACTCTTCTCCTCTTAGAATTGGCAATCCGTTTGTTAGGACTGGCGCAGAATCTCTCCTTCATCGATGAGGAGGGGATTTCATAAGAGAATCCATGGTACGAATAAGATTCTAGGATCAGCATGGGGTGTGACTCCTGAGGCAGAAAACCTGATTTTCAGTCCACTGTGTGTGCTGTCCAGCTGTGTTGTTGGGTCTCATCACCTCTGGGTGAGCCTGTTATAAAGCTTGACTGCCGTGAGACTCAAATACAGGAAAGGGTGGAAAAAGACAAGAGAGAGAAAGAGTGTGCGTGTGAGCACGTAAGCTGGGAAGGGGCAGAAGGAGAGAGAGAGAAAGAGAGAGAGAGCGAGGGAGTGTGTAAGCTGGGCAGGGACAGAGGGGGAGAGAGAGAGAATCCCAAGCAAGCTCTAAGCTCAGCTGGGAGCCTGATGCGGGGGCTTGATTGCAAGACCCAAGATGCTGAACCAGCTAAGCCACCCAGGTGCCCCTGTCATTGAAACTTTTTGATCATTGGGTGTAGCTTTTTCTAAACTTGGCCACATTAGTGAGTATTCAGTTGTATTTGTCTGTGAAAAGAAGGAAATGTCAGCATCATTTTGTGTCCCATACTGACTCACCAGATGTTTCTTCATCTGGGTGTTTGAGGCATCACAGTGCAGCCTCGGGCAGTTTGGGGAAGTTGGATTCTTATGAAACAACCATTGTTGGTCTTTGGGGGCTGTATTTTAAATCATAGAAAGTTAATTTTACGTTCTAAGACTGTAACGAATTACAAGTAGAGCTACACCAAATTATTTTAAACAATAAAAGAGGAGGTTTCGGGCGCTTGTTTTCTGACTTGGGCTTCGCCCTGCTGGCGTGGTGTGTTCTCTACAGTCATTTTGACAAGCGTCCTGGCCAGAGAAGAACAGTGGTGTGTCGGGGAGGACGTTTGATTTTAGCAAGCTGATAATTCTCCTTCACATACCAATTAAAACCATTGTCTGACCGCGACTTAGCCAGCCCCGCTGAGCTCTGGAATGGTCCTTAGAAGCCTCCTGGGGCAGTGACCACCCGCATATCAGTGGTTCTGGAGGACAGCGTGTTATGTGAACCTGGA